TTCCCTCCCTACTGGAGGGGATTTTTCAATTCTGAGGAAACTTCTATGCAACAAGGCTCTGAGACACTCTTCACAGTAGCAGATAATTGCTGAGGGAGAGAGAATCCCTTTATTGAGGATACCGGAGCTGGCAGATTTCCCATGCTCCAGTGAATGGCCCTGTACCCACACATTTATGTGGGCTGCTCTAATTAGACTTAATGTTTTTTAAAGGCAATTATTTAGGAGAGGTCATGTTTGGAGGAATATGGAGAAAGCTGTAGGTGAGAAATTTAGGTAAGTATGATCATATTTCATTGTATGCATGTATGAATTTCTCAGACACAAAGGAAAATATTTTTAAAACCAAAAGAATCAGCAAATATCATAGGATCCCAAATAGTTCTAGTTTTGATATTTTAAAATTCATTCCAGTATGTATTAGTATGTATTTCTTTTTATCTCTGTTTTACTAAATAGCGCTTTAAAAGAATACTCAATTTGCATTTTATTTAAAACGTATTTATTGTAAAACTGTTCTTGTTACCATATAGATTCCAAAGAAGTTTGAGACTGTTTTCCTTCAAGGCTGTGAACATTAATTTTCAAGGGAAGGGAAAGAGCATGACATGGTACAGATAATAAAATCTGTGACCAGTGTCCTCTGCTGTGTAACACAAGAAGGCGATTTCATATCATTTGTCATAATAAAATAAACTTCGAATTGATGTAAACATTTGTCATTTGGTGTTATAGTTCATATGCTAAAACATCCTAATCTGCCAGCCCTGAAGACTCTTTAGAGAGAGAGAGAACAATGCTCTATTAGATTAAACATCTTCTAATGGCCCACGTGTCATACATTTGTTCTTCAGAGTTGCTCTACATGGGAGTGCCTGAACCTTTAAGATATGATGGGTGTTGGAAGGTCTTCAGGTCATGGGACAGTTCCTTGAAAGGAAGGGTGTGACTCCATTCTCTCCCTTCCCCTCTTTTTACATGTCAGCCATGAGCTGACCAGTTTTGTCCTGCTTCAGGATTTTTCTCTGGTATGATGTGTCCTCACAGACCTAAAACACTGAATGATCTTAGTGAAAATAGACCTTTTCTCTCTGTACATTTATTATCTCAGCAACGAAAGGCTGACAGATACCAGGGATTGTATGGTTTCCCTTTATTCACATTTTGACATTTTCTGCCAGGCCTCAGGGACATTCTTGTGGTTCTCTTTCCATCCAACAGCATTTTGTTAGGAAGAGAGTTAGGAGGCAGTACAGCTATGTCCCAGATGTGACTTCTCAGCTGCCTATACACTGTGGAGTCTCTATCTTTCCTCTATTTGCAAAATGTAGACATTAAAAAAATCACACAGATTTTTTTTTGTGAAGATTAAAGACTCAGTAAATGCCAAAAGAAATGTAGCTTTCAATTATTAATCTCTGTGTCCAGCTCAAGAACAAAATTTTAAACGAGCCACATTCTTTATCCTTGGGAAATCCATTGTGTGGTCCTGAACGAGAAAATGCCTATGCAAGTTTGTTGATGATTTTATGGGATTTCTTCCTTGTTCTGTGAATCATACCACACCACGGGGGGTCGCGGGGCTGAGTAACAGAACAATACTTAATCACTGATAAGTTATAGAAGTTAGTGTGTTCCTCAGTGACACAGCGAAAACTCCTAATGTGCTAGGTCGGAGGATGTCTGATAAGACAGGCTCATCTCTGTGAATCAAGGATCAGTCTGGCTATCAAGAATGCCAAGTTAATGAGCCTTAGCATTAGAGAAGCCTGGGAATAACTGACCTGTGACAGCGTAGTGATGTCTGTCTCTGCTGTGACCTCTTAAATGCTGAATTGACTTTTGGAAGCTCTTAAAAGGTTTTTATTTTTGTATTAGAAAACAAATGATGAAGCAATTTCTAGATATTGTCCACTGCTGGCTCATACGTTTATACTTGAGATGCTTTCTCTATTTCCATGTGGCTTTTCTCCACCCCATCTTACATTTAGGACTATTTGAGGAAGTTGCCAAGTTATTGTGAATCAGTCGTTTTGAAATATGGTGTGAATGAAGGATACTTAACAGTGCTTGTGACTGAATCAGCCATGACTTAGACCCTACCACTGTATGAAAGTTCTCTCTGAAGAAGTCCGATTTGAGATGATATCCCCCTACCCCACTACCCCACTACTCACAACACACTCACTTGGATCACTGGAGTCTATTTTGTCTCCTGGCCTCGCCATCAGGGGAATGACAATGAAAACTGCAGTGTGATACCATGTCATGTCAAAATACCTCTAGCAATCAGGGAAACAATCAGCCATTTAAAGGATGTGGGGCAAAGAGACTTTCATTCACTGTTGGTGGGAGTACACATTGGTAAAATCATCATGGACAACAGCATGAGAGTTTCTCAAAGAACTAAAAATAAGATTACTACACCTAGTTATCCACTTATTAAAATAGATACATGCTCTAGGATTTCTGTATCACCTTTATTTCTGTTCCCGTGATTGAGTGCCCTGAAAAAAAAAGGTAGCTTAAGGGAGGAAGTGTTTATTAAACTTACAATTCCAGTTCATAGTCCATCACTGTGGGAAAGTCGAGGCAGGAATTTAAAGCCGCTACTTACATCCACAGACTTGGAGAATTACACTCTTATACTGCTCATCTCTCTTTCTCAATTCTAATATAGTCTAGAACCCAAACCTGAAGATTGGTGGTCATATGAATGATGACTTGGGTATTCCCACATTCCATAATTAATCCCCCACAGAAATGCCCACAGGACGAGCTAATCTAGATAGTATCTTGAGGTTCTCTTCCTGGGTGAATCTTCATTCTGTCAAGTTGACAATTAAAACTACTATCATAGTAGAGACAACATGAACTTAGTGTATAAAAAAGAGAGTTGCAATTAGGGTAATCACTAATCTGATTAAAGAGTTCAGACACCCTCTTCATTATTGCTAGGAGTCTTAGCCAGGGTCATCCTTGTAGATTCCTGATAATTTCTCTAGCACCAGGTTTCTCTCTAACCCCATATTGGCTCCTGCATCAACCCACAGCCATGCACTGGGCTGAGCTCTTGAAGTTCAGTTGAAGAGGGGGGGTTATCATATGAACAAGGAGGGCCAAGACCATGATGGGGAAAACCATAGAGACACCTGACTTGAGCTAGTGGGAGCTCACGGACTATGGACTGACAGCTGGGGAACTTGCATGGGCCCGAACTAGACCCTCTGAATGGGGGTTACAGTTATGTGACTTGATCTGTTGGGAAGGCCCTAGGCAGTGTTACCAGGACCTATCCCAGGGGCATTAACTGACTTTTTGGAGCCCACTCCCTATGGTGTGATACCTTGCTCAACCTTAATATAGGGAGGAGGGGCTTGGTCCTGCCTCAACTTGGTATGCCAGACTTTGTTGGTTCCCCAAGAAAGGCCTTACCCCCTATGAGGACTAGATGAAGGGTGGGAAGAGGGAAGGCAAGGAGCCAAGAGAAGGGGAGGGAGGGGGAACTGGGGTTGGTATGTAAAATGAAAAATAATACTTTTAAACAAAATGAAATAATAGAAAAAGATAGTTGCATTCCCCATTTATTGTGATGCCATACACTGTGGTAGAAGCTAAGAAGGGAAATAAGTCCCTCTGCCCATGATAAGTGGATAGAGAGAATGTTTTATGTACACAGTAGAATATTAAATCATAAAGAAAAATTTATGTCATCTGTAGCAAAATGTATTAAATTATTTTTTTTGGTTTTTCGAGACAGCGTTTCTCTGTAGCTTTGGAGGCTATCCTGGAACTCACTCTGTAGACCAGGCTGGCCTCGAACTCACAGAGATCCACCTGCCTTTGCCTCCCAAGTGCTGGGATTAATGGCGTGCACCACCAATGCCTGAAAATGTATGAAATTATAAGATGTCATGTTATCTAATGTGAAACATGCCAGACATGGAAAGATGAACCCTGCATGTTCTCTCTCATATATGGAAACTTAGTTACTAGGGACTGGTAAAAGTGTTAGGAATGGAGAGGGAAGCGTAGATGAGCTGTTGTATGGAATGAATATTTGCTGTGTGCATGAATGGAAATAGGCTGAATATTGTTAATATGTAGTTAGCATGTGAGTAAAGACTTAGTAAGAGTGGAATTCCATCTCTGGCCTTGGGGAAATGACACTAGGAAGAAAGGAGGACTCTAGAGAGCTCTGTATCACATTCTAATTACATTTCTCTCAGAGCGTTGAAAGTGGCTCACATAGTTCCAATTCTAGGCCCAAGTCAGCTCTTCTCTGGTCACGCTCTGCTTCTTGTCTCCATCTGCTGCCCTGTGCCAACGCTGTTAGCTAGACACTGAGTATATAGTTGTCTGGAATAGCAGCTTTCATTGTTTATTTTACTGTGATTATTAGCAATAGAAGCATGTGATGTCATAGCTTAATGAATATTTCCCTCCACATTTACACACTGAAGTAACTACCTGTTAGGTACATATAGACTTTGATTTTTTTTACTCCATTCCATTAAAAATATACTAATCACAGCTTATTAAACTAATCTCAGGGATGCTATATAGGCCATACACCATGGTTTATGAAAAAGTCATGCTGTATTGGGGCTGAAGAGATGGTTCAGTAATTAAGAGCACTTGCTGCTCATGTGAGAACTGTAATTTGATTCCCAGCACCCAGGTGTCTAATTCACAACCACTTGAAACTCCAGCACCAGGAGATTTGGCCTCTTCACACACACACACACACACACACACACACACACACACGCAATAAATCTTTTTTTTGATTAATAAACATGGCAAGACATATTTTAAAAGTAAAATAAAAATTTTCAAGTCATCCCCTAAATGATCAAAATGATAGAACCTATTGAACATTTAGTTGAGTGAATGTTTCAGTTTTGTTTTTCTTTTGCTCTGTTTTGAGACACTTAACTAGTCTGAGCTGTTCCTCAAATATGTGATCCTCCCATTTCAGCTTCCCAAGTGCTGTGATTACAGGCGTCTGCCTCTCAGCATGGGGATATTTTAGCTTAAGAAGTCCTTCAATGAGAAATGAAACTTGGGGAAGCATGTGCTATTTATCCAGGCCAGATTTCACAGTCCACACCCTCTTTCTCTGGTTCCCCAGAAGTGAAGACAGAGCAAGATCCCTTGAAGCCTATGTTCTGGAATAACAACTCCTCCTGGCAAGTAAGTCGCTAATTAGCCGTACTGTGAAAGATGCCCAGTATGTGCTGTGCACTGCCAATGGGCAGGGCAGTAGCACTTGCAGGCAGATGGCTTTAGCGTTGTGGACTTCATTCTAGTCGTTTTGTCTCACCTCTTCTATTCTCATCATGCTGGAGTCTGATTCTCCAAGGTTTGTGACAGTTCTTTTCTTTTTCATCCGTAAAGTAGGCATTGGTCTCTCTTTTTGTAATCATTTGCAATCATTGTCCCTGAAGCTTTACTAAATATTAGAGGTTGTATTTCTGTTTATACTAAGGAAAGCCATCTAGGCAAGTATTAAAGGCCCCCCAGAGGACGGAATGGGAGCCTAGGAGGTGAAAAGATGGGAAGAATAATGTGGATTGCTGATAAGACAGTAAGCAGAAGAATCCACATTGTGGTTTTTCCCACTTTCCTTCCCCTTTTAAAGTAACTTCCTCATTAATTTAGCCTCTATCATCAAAATCTCACTGTGGAAGACATGGAAGAGTGATTGAATGAGGAGACATGGAAAGGCAGACATAGACATAAACAGACATGGTACGTGATGTGTATCCTTAGAGAGACCAGTATCATGACCCTTATTACTCCATTTCTCATGTTCAACACCAACCCAGGGTGGCTCTGACAGGAGAAGCACATGCAGTCAGTAAGAAGACATCTGTTACCATATGTGCCAGCAGAACAGAAAACGAAATCTGGTTTAATTCTTCCTAACCAACAGGTATGTGTATAGCATCAATTCTCCAGGTTGAACCACCCAGAGAGTGCTGGTGCATTTCCATCATTCACAGTGAACAGGAGCGTAACAAGGACAGTTTCGACCCAGAAGATGCGGCTCTGAGCTGTTAGTTGCCTTTTTGCAATTTTATGTTTTTACATTTCAAGCATCAGCATTGCATGGGACATTTCAGAACAAATATTAATTCAATGCAGACATATTAAAAACTAGCTCTCGCCCAGAATACTGCCAGTTTACCAAATCTGCACTGAATTAACACACATGTGTAAATGCCGTGACTTCTTGTGCCTAGTAGGGAGCCAAGTGAGGACAAATGTCCTCGGCAAATAAACATTTGTGAAACATTTGATGAAATAAACATAAGACACAAATAAGAATGAAAGAGACCAAAGATTTTAAACAATTTAATTTAAGCAGCACACATGTAGATTTTATTTTAAAACCAAAACATCAACCTTGATCTTAAAAAAAATGAAAAGAGGGTGTTTACCAACATTGACCTCAATTTTCCACTTATAAATAAGATTTGGGCAAGGAACATGATTTGATGGTTAACTGTATCTCTTGTGCAGCTGTGAGGACCTCTGTTAAAATGCCAGGAGTTGCATCAAAAGCTGGATTACACACACCTGGGCTCACAGGAGGGTCCCTAGGGTTTGCTGGCTGTCAGCTGGCCTCAGGTTCACTGAGAGACCCTTTGTCAAGAGACTGAATATGGGCTTCCAATATCCTTCTTTAGCTTATATATATATATATATACCCAGACATAGATACCCAAACAAACATGGCACATAACACACACAAACACACACACACACACACACACACGAGCACACACATGAGCACACACACAACATACAACACAAATCAAATTGAAAAACAATAAAAACAAAAATAAACTTTAAACAATAAAAACTTTAATTGTGTGTGTGTATGTGTGTGTTTTGACATGTACATCTAAGTCAGAGAACAGCTTCTAGGGGCCGGTTGTCATGTGCATTCTAGGGATTTAACCCAGGTTATTTCCCTGTAGTCATTGGATCTAACCTCTGTCACTGTCATCATATCCAGAGCAGTCATACTGCTTGCCAGGCCTAAGAAACTTCCCTAAGACGTTTGTCTTATTTATTTTCAACTTCATTGTGATTGCAAGAAACCAGTATGGATCACAGATATTGGTCTTATGTAGTGGGGATTTCACATAATGTCAGTTAGGAATTAATAGGCATGGTCTGTGGCTTCAGACTTGAATCTGGTCAGGATCAACGTCTTAAAGGATAGTGTTTCTGATGCTGTGGTAAAACAGCATGACCAAAAGCAAGTAGGGGAAAGGAGGTATATTTCATCTTACAGTTTACAGTTCATCATTCAGGAAGGTCAGGGCAGGACCTTAAGGTAGGAACCTGGGGCAGGAGCTGTTGAAGCCATGGAGGCATACTGTTCCCTGGCTTGCTCCCCATGGCTTGCTCAGTCTGCTTTCTTATCGCACCCAAGGCCACCAGCTCAGAGTTGGCACTGCCCACAGTGAGCTGGGCCCTTCCACAGTAACCATCAATCAAGAAAATGCAAGACAAATTTGCCTATAGGCCAATCTGATAGGAACATTTTCTCAGCTGAGGTTCTCTATCCCAGAATGACTCTAACTTGTGTCGAGTTAACACAAAACTATCCAGCACAGCCAGGCACACAAGCTTGCTTTTGAACTGTGAAGGAATAGGTGAAGAAACAGCATAGTTTATTAACTACATTACCGATGAAGTCTTAGGTTCTGGAAAGAACACTTTTTACTCATGAGTCAAGTATTAAAATTAGCACCCAAAAGTTGAGAACCAGAAAGGAACACAGGATATTTTAAGTTTAGAATAGATAGCTTTTAACTTTGATCAAAGCAATGAAAAGGAAAATAATTGAAGTCATACATGGTAGTTCATGCCTATACTCCCAGAATTTGGGAGCCAGATGTGATAGAGCAGGAGTCCAAAGCCAACTGTGACTACATAGCGACACCCTTTCTCGAACAAGAACAACAAATTTGAAAGTTTAGCGCACACAACAAGAATGTTAAAAAATCTTTCTTTTTTAATCAAAAATTTCCAAGTGCTTCCTTAGTTAGAAATAGTAGCTTTAGGATCTAAGCATGTTTAGATTATTTTTTAAAGAAGGGAAACTGAAATCTACTTCAAGAAGGCTCATAAAGAAACTTCACAAATCATTTCTGATGATTGTGTAACTGTGACCGGTCAGCCTCTTTGTATCTGCTTCCCTTTATCTTTGAGTCCCGAGCCAAGTGGCACAACCACATATCCAGTTGCCCAACACAAAATCTGGTGTCTGGTAGAAAAGAAAGAAAGAATAGATAATATGTACTAACAGCTTATTGTGTGGCTTAGGGAATTTTCTTTACTTATGCATTACCGTGTTTAATACCAAAAGTAGCTGCTGCTAGGGTAAAAATCGCAATGGCTGCCCCACTCTGGCATTCCACACCAAGATCAGGTGATAGTTCCATGTCTGTGCCTACATCACTTCTACTCATTGAAAATGAAATGAAAAACTCAAAGAAACTCATTTCCAGCATTGTTTACCATGCATATTTATATTACAATAAACTTTCCACAAATATTAGGGACAAAATAGATGATACAGTAGCTAGTGGATATTCTAAAACTATTTAAAAAAATATGAAAAAATTCAAAAAGAATAATTTTCACTGGAAAATAATTCAAGAAAGTGACAGAAGAAATTAAATTTACAATATATGTTAAAGAATTGCATTGCAAAATGGAGCAGAGTTAAGTGTGGGTGGGCTATTAGGAAGACAATACTATTTAAATTCAGTATTATTTTCACTGTTTCCTCCTTGTTAAATCCTTGATTCCCTCAAAGCAGAATCCCTAGTGGTAATATTTACTTTGTTCTGGAAGCAGAGCACACTGAATTTGTCTATAACACATGTGTTAATCTTTTTTTAGATCAAGGCTTTATTAGCTACTAACTCCTGTTTTGTTTCCAGTCACTTCTGGAGAGCAGAATGGACATGTTCCTGAGAACAGTTTACGTGGCTTTGCACAGGAAGGATATGGCTGCACTATCAGGAGGAAGTCATCTGCTTGAAGCTGCAGCTTATGCTTAAGATGGAATAAATGTAGTTAAAACCCTGCGTTTGACACTTTTTAAGGACTTCACAAATGTACACAAGGTGCTTCTCAAAATAAATACTGAATATCTGGCAATGAAGAGTAGCAATCCGGAAGACATGGGTGGCGAAGGAGCCAGGGCCAATGATGCTGCCTTCATTTGTTTACAGGAGACTTTTGGAGGGCAGTGCATGGGAAAAAGTAGACCATCGGGAAGCTCCCCTAAACTGAGAGATGGAGTTCAGAATCTAGGGAGACAAACAAGACTAAACATTCTCAGGAGCAGTGTCAGTGAGGTGAGAGCTACCCAGAGAGGACAAACTTTGTATTGTTTAGATCATAACTGGTTCAGAACAGTGTCCTTGCAAGAGGGGACCAAAGACAGAGGGAACAATCAACCCAAACGGCGTGAGGCAGTGTGGCTGTAGGGATGGCTCAGCGGTTAAGAAGAGCACTGACTGCTCTTCCAGAGGACTCAGGTTCAATCCCCAGGACCTACATGGCAGCTCACAACTGTCTCTAATTCTAAGATCTGACATCCTCACACAGACATACATCCAGACAGAATACCAATGCAAATAAAATAAAAGCAAATAAATTATTTTCAAAAATGTGAGGGACCAACAGCCCATACTCACACGTGACCAAAATACTTCCTGTTCTAGCCTAGCATTCAGAGCAGGAACCCCTGGTACTCACAGGGTATGTGTAGATGAGCAGAGACATACTACAGTACCACAAATTCCACACCTAGCAATGTTTTGAGTTTTTCCCACTGAAGCTTAAACGTTAGTATCAAGGGGGCTGGAGAAATGGGTTAGTGGTGAAAAGCATGGATGTTCATAGCATCCGTATCCAGCAACTCACAAGCACCTGTAACTCTAGCTCTGGGAGCTCTCACACCCTCTTGTAGACTCAGCATGCACTAGCATTCACACATGCACAGGCCCACAAACACTTAAAAATGAAATAAATCTCTTTTTAAAGTCTCAAATGGAAGAAAATATCCTTTATTTTCATTACACACCAGAAAGTAGATCAACATGAAAGGAAAACAAATGTGCTCCCCATTAAGGACTGTATGCACTATTTTGAGAAAAATGAATTAGATTATTATACACTGTCCACGAAGGCATTGATAAAGCTAACAGAGACATGCAATTATGTTCCATGTGTTCAATAAAGTAAAGGATATATTGAGCATAAATAAAAAACATAGGCTGTAAGTATTGCTAGTATCTATGCTATTATCAGACAAAGTAGTAGACATAACAGGAAATAACATGAAGGCTATTTAATAATGGTAAGTGTATTCATCATGGGGATAGTAACAGTTGTTAATACTTAGGAACCTAAAGTTTGAAAATACATGAGGCAAAAGTGATAGAATTATAAAGAAAAATGTGTAGTTGTAGTTAAAAATTCCAACATCCCTCCCTCAATAAAATATATAAAATATAGCGATTATTATGTAATATTTTATAGGACAATTAGTCTGAAATGCTATACAAGGCTTTCATGACACTATCAGGCATATTGACCTATTTGAGATATCTGTAACTCCCCATCCACCCTGAGAAGAAAACTTATTGAGTTCAAAGGCCCTTGGAACAGTTATTTGGATCAAAAAAGAATCTTGATTACTTTTAAACAATTCCAATTATCAAGTGTGTGCATTTTGACCACAGCAGAATTAAGTTAGATATTGATAAGAACATGGAGACTTCACGTTTACAGGAACTAACAACTTATAAATAAACCAGGGGTCAAAGATGCAGGAGGGGGCTTTAAAGTATTCTGAATTATAATGAATTTCAAAAGACATAATTTCCAAACATGCAAAATGCAGCTAAAGCATTTTCTAATAAAAAAGTTGAGCAGCTGGAGTTCCTTTGCAAAGAAAACCCAGAAATGAAGGAATAAATTAGATCCAACCAGGACTCCCTGTTGTGGGTTCTTAGTCTCGTTAATAATAGAATTAAGAAACTGACTTGGAAGGGTCCCCAGGCCCATTCTACTAGGGCTGTGAAACCTTAAATCTTTCTGTATGTGTATGTTGATTAAAAGAAAAATCTTCCCCCACACACTTCAATGTACCTTTTCACTTTATACCAAACAGGCTGGCCTTGGACTTACTATGTAGCCTAGACTGACCTCAAACTCATAACCTCCTTGGCTTAGTTTCCCAAGTACCAGGATTACAGGGCTGCTCTACTACACCCAGAAGGATCTCTGTCTTTATCTCTGTTGTTGTTATCAAGCATGGATTTTCTGCAAAATCTTCCGTAATATAAATCTTCATGAAAGTCAAGCAGGTTGTAAGAACATATAAGAAAACCATCCAGTATTGCCAAATGAGAAAAGCCACTGAAGCAGTCAGTGGGCTATTTGGCTATAAAATGCTTTGATTTTAAGAAGACAAACAAACCTGGAGCAATGAAACTCCATGAAGTCATTTGCGTTTTTAAGACCTATATAATCTGTCTTCCAGAACCCACTGAACCTGTCTTCTAATCCCCCAATACATTATCAAGTAAGAAGTTTTAAGAAGTCTCCATAGAGGCTCCACACAGAATTTCAATCCGGTGTTATCTATGCCACTCTTCCAACTCCATGTGAGGAAATATAGCTAGACCAAGAGCTCTTTTGAAGTGTATTTTGCTCCAGGCTATTCCACCCTCTGCTACTCGCCCAGCTTTATCCTCTTATAGCCGGCTGGTTTTTAAATGTGCAGCTGGCAGGAGTCTGCTCTTCCCGGTTACTTGGCAGTTTCCCTGCTTTGCCACTTCTGTGGGTGCTTAACATGGCTGCACCCACATCAAACGATTTGCATTCACTCAAGGTTCACTCACTTAGGGCTTCCTCTGCATGCCACAGCTGGCCATTGTTGTCAGGTGAGAACAGGGTTACCAGGTCGTAAATTCTGGCCCTCTACTCCCAGTACGGAGGCACAGGAGGGAAAAGACAACATGAGGTGGGGTTTTATGCTATAGTAATAAAAAAAAGAATGATGAAGCTAATCCTTTGGAGAAGTTAAAGCTGCCACAGGCTGGTGCTTTCCTGGTGGGTTAGCTTGGACCCGAGTATGAGCCAGGAGAACTGTTTAACATTGAGTGCAATGCCCAAGCAGAATGAGTGCTGAGAGACTCATTTCTTCCCAGGATCCTCGCTATGTGTGAACATGAAGACTGCATGATTATTGGCCGTAGTTTATATCTCTGACGTACCTTCCCATTCAGCTGTCACGCAGCTTATATATATCCTGGCCACATCCTGCTGCAGTATGAGCCATGGCTGGCAGAAAGACACGTGTGAAGACTCAATGCCTGAAAATTTTATCTCAAAAAAGACTTGCGATATATAAAATGACATAGCAGCAGAGGTACTCCACGTTGTAGTAGTCTGTGGGTTGGCTATTAGTTAGGACCTGAGTATTATGTACTACTATGTAGTTACTTGAATTTTTTGTTATTGTTTTTTGACACAGGGTTTCTCTGTTTAGCCTTGGGTGTTCTGGAACTCACTCTAAAAACCAGACTGCCCTTGAACTCACAGAGCTCCATCTGTCTCTGCCTCCAGAGTGCTGTGATTAAACCATGCAACCACCACCCACTTTATTTGAGCTTTTGGGTCTTGTGTCATATGATTATGGAAGCCAGAGAGGAAGAGCAACACAGAGATGAAAATGATCCCAGGCGGGGCTTCATTTAACCACCTTGCTCATTCTGAGTGTGGATGTGGACACGTAGGTCCACTGAGACTAAACCCACAATGTTTGGTAGTCAGGAGCAAGCCCTACCCATCCCGTCTGCATGAACAATGGCTCCATGTGTCCTGTCCATATGTCCACAGATGGCCATGAAGCTCCTGTTCTGTATGCTTGATGACAGAGGCTCAGCAATATTATGCCAGGCATAGATAGGGATGGATAGTGCAGACATGATCACCTATGGCAAGATGACACTTCATTAATTAACATGCCCTCTGGAGACTTTTTTTAAAATAACTCCAGTTTCATAAATATTCATGTATCTAACCCTGACCTGATGACAGATCTTACCTGTGCTTCTCCCTCCTCAGGAAAGTCCTCTAGCTTAAGGCTGTGACTGCTGGAAGGCTGAAGCTTGCCCTCCGTCCATCCTTTCTTCTGGGCCTCTCTTGCAACAGCACCAGAGCATCTGTCTAGTTTTGACTCTATTTCTTGGAGACCACAGCTGTGAAGGATAGCAAGCAGCCGTTTCTATCAGTTTATATGTATCTCTTGTTGAGGAAAGAAATGAGATGTCAAATTTGTAATTCTATTCATGGCACTGCTACATTGAAAAAAGATTCTACTAAGCCTTTTGGGAGACTGAGCTTAGAAGTAACTCTGGAAACCCACAGGTTTTTCCTGGTGTCAAACATCAGATATCTGTTGTAACTCTATATTTTAATTTGGTGTTATACTACACTGCTCATGTGCATCACTGATTTATTGAGCTAAATGTATGTGCCTCCTGTACCAGATCAGGACACACACTTATTCTTACAATAGTTCAAAGAACAATCGCTCTTTGAAGTGTGTGGCCTAGATTTTTTAGGTAGTGTTGCTGCCATATCTCTAATCTCCGGAAGATTTGTTTGTTTAGCCTTTCTAATTTGGTGTATAAGTACATGTAGGAAACTTAGAAACTTAGTACTGTGAATGGGATAAAACATATGGATTTCGAATTATATAATTTCATGCTAACTAACATTTTTATTCTATAGTAGAAATCACTTTAAAAATGTTGCTAGAACACAGAACCAAACACTTTGTTATATATTTTATATATAATATATATATGCACATATGTTATATATAGAATTAACTTGATTAGACATATATCTAGGAGATATAATAGATTTCAGCTCAGGTCACTGTAATAAATGCAGTATTTCAGAAAAGTGACTAACATCATTTTCTGTGGTTTCTCATTAAATATAAACTTAGGATGGCCAGCAGGGTGGTGTTCCACACCATCAATCCCAGTACTTGGAAG